CTGCCAACCGGGGTTCGAACCCCCTCAGGGGCAATCTTAGGGTTGGAGTTTTTTTTAAAAAAATCCCCTAGCCTGTTTCGCGTTTCCAAAGCACAGGTAAAGGACCAGTCCACTCACCGGGTAACGGGCCCCTGTGTATGGGCGAGACATGGGGTTCGGTGATTTTCTCGGGCTGAGGTGAAAGTCATCTACCTTAAGCTAAAAAAAGCTCGGGGTTTGTCTGCCCCTCGCAGCCCAAATTTTTTTTTGTGTTGCCCAAAAACCCGAGTCATTACACCCAGCGCATTGCTGTGGAGATTGCGAAGAATTTGGAATGAAATAGTAAATATGATGTAGACAACTTGTATTAAGATGCTGGAAGTTAGTGGCATGACATAACATTAGTGGTGTGGATAGTTAGCGAAAGATGATGTTGATGTATTGCATGTTGAGATGGAATTTATAGTGAGGACTAGTTTTATTAGAAGTGTAGATATGAATTCCGAAACATGTATTAATATCAATATAAACATATTTTGGAATTATTAATTTCTAATACAAATGTTTTCTTATAAAAAACCCTCTCTAAAAATTAGATCAACTATATAACATGACCTTTATTTATAAAAATAATTTATGGAATGTTTTCAGCGCATGCTTGGATTTGAGCTTGATCTCGAACCCAAAGTAAAGCTAATGTATACGTTTCTTTCAAAATTAAATCTCTCCTTTTTCCTCCTCAATTCTTTTTGGAAGCAATTCTTTTTGAAAAATTCTAGGGCACCTCTAAATCAAGGACAGAGGGAGTACTATAAATGCATACTAAGTGATTTGAAGTTCTGTTGACTTTCTTAAATTTGTTTGTGGCTCTATCGAATTTAGATATCCGGCCCTTTCCAAATTCGATCAGTCTTTGCATAAGACTAAAAGAACATCAGAACTAATCACAGGCTAATAGCAACCCAATCACGTACTGTAGAGACGTAAAAGCCCAGCACCAAGCCACCAACAGGAGCCGACCCTCTCCTCACGCTCACGAGGTCACGACTCACAACTCTGTTTGCTTAAGCCAGACAGAAATAAATCAGCCACGTAAATTAGCCGGAGCCCAGTTAAATCGAGCCGAACATATAGCCGCTGCGGCTGCGGGAGTGGACGCCCCACGCCAGGCCGCCAGCTATACTACTTGCAGTGCACGGCAGCAGCAGCAGCAGCGGGGCCCACTCCTCGGCCAACGGCCCTGGCTGTGCGAGTGTCGACATTTTCCAGCAAAAAGCAGCTGCATTGCACTGCCGCTGCACGAGACCCTACTCTCTGCCTGCTCGTCCTTCAGCTTTTGCAGACGTACCCGTACCCCTCTGCCCGCTTGTGTCCTTTCTCCTTAAGGAGACAGACAAGTGGGCCTGTCCCGCCATGTTTCGCTCGCTGATTGGATGCTAGACGGGCACACACGGATCAGCCCCGGCGCGTGAACACCTCTGCCTCGCCGACAGGCGGACCCCGCGCGACACGTGTCGACCCATTACTTGCCCGTCAACCATGCCACGGATCGCCCCCCGCTCCCCCTCTCTCTCTTCCTCTCCCGTGAGCCAGCCGTTGGAATATATTTTCCCCATCCCTCGCACCGATGCCTCGTGCCTCCCTCTCTTTTCTTCCTGTCTCTCTCTCTCTCTCTCCCGCTCCCACGATTCGAACCACCGGCGCCCGGAGCAGGAGCACGGACGCCGAGGCCGAGGTCGCGCGCCCGTAGAGCCACACCGGCCATCCCCGCGTCCTTCCCTCCATCCGACGGCCGCGCGTGCACCGAAGCCGCCGCGCGGCTATAAGAACAGCTCTCTGCCAAGCCCTCCCAACCACGCCGCCACCACTCGCGCGGGAGCGCTGCCGCACCTCCCCCTCGCCCGAGCCCGACGCCGCTGCGGAGGAGCCGCCCGAGCCGACGCACCGTCGAGGAGGAGGAGCCCCGGAGCCGGCGAGGAGACCCCCTCCGGCGGGTCTCATCTTCCCCGAGACCGGCGACCCCGTCTTCTTCCTCTGGGAGTCCAGCGCCGCCGCTCCAACAGGAGCCGGAGACGACGGAGGACGGAGGAGCACGAGCACGTCTGCGTCGACCCGGACCCGAGTTCGGCTACACGACGCCCCGTCCGCAAGCAGGCAGCCCCTCGACAACTCCCCAGTCGTCCCCGACCGTTGAGCCCTGCGCCGAGGCGCACCGCGAGCCGGCATCGCCTGCTTCGACGAACGAACCGCGAATCTGCTCCGTGCCTACCTCTGCATCAAGCCGCCACGGTGACTGCCTTTTCTTCTTACCCTTTTGTAATCAGATGGATGCGTGTGCCGAGCCTTCGTGCCGGCAATCTTGTAATGGGATGTGATATGGGATATGGCTCGGTTCGATTTTTGTTGCGTGATTTTACGCTGAGCCATCGAGCCGGCTCTTGTGCCTGCAGCGCCATGGCCGTGGCGTGCTGCTCCACTGTAGCGCAGATCCGTCATCTTTCTTTGTGCGTATGGATACACTGGTCTTGGAGCACCGCCATGGCCAAAATGTACCACTGCTGTTTGGTAGGGATGAAACCGGATTGAATACAAATATTGATGCTGAATACGGGTAGCCGTTTTCTTTATGGGATTTGCTATAGAATACGGATAGTGATACTGTCAGATACGTGGATATTAATATCCATGTCGTGTACTAGAAATGTAACGTTGATTATTCAGATTGGTATCGATACTAAATGTTTGAATTTATATATGGATTATTCAAGTAGGTTTAAACCTTTTCGGGATTACATATACCAAAAGATGTTAGCATGTAATAATTGGACTTCAATAATAGAGAAAGTAGAAAATCTATTAAAACTGGTGGACCTATACCTAAAAGTAAACTTATTGTGGGACAAAATTTGAAAGATAGAAGGGTACTTATTTTGGGGTGGAGAGAGTAGTGCCTTTGAGCTAGTTGTGCAATTTAAAAACAATTAATAGAACCATAAGCAAAACTGAAAGAATTGGAACAAAAAAAACTGGTTGCTTATTTGTTTCTAGATAGCAAAAAATCAAATGAACCAAAGAAATTTTGGTTCCTACCATTGATTAACTGAATTAATCGAAGAATTGAAATATATGAATTGTAGTTTACTTGTTTTTTTAAGACCGTTTAGTTTTATGTGTGATGTTTCATGTTTAAATTGTTATATATTTGTGCCACTATATTGCTATTGCTCCCTTATCAATTATTATTAACTAAAATAGAGGTAGTTTTATATATATTGGCTGAAAAAACAAGCGTTCCGGCTGAAAAAACAAGCAGAAAAAGACGGATTATAAAAGAAGCGAACATGGTCATAGTCTTAACTCTTATTGATAAAATTCGGTTAGTTCGACTGAAACCAAACTGAAATTACCTAAAACTGAAATGCTCGGTTCCTAGAATGTTTTAGTATCGATCAATTCCTAGAATTTCTTCATAAACCGAGGAACCATCACGACCACTGATGTCTTACGTGTTTATGACATGTTATGCATTGGTTTTCTTTGTTTTTGACTCAATTGACTGGTGAGGGGAGTGCTTTTCTTTCCTCGAGATGATTGCGGATCTGGTATGAGGCTGTTGACTCAAATACGAGGATGAGTTCTTATAGCCTAAAGAGTGGTAGTGAGATGTGATTCTTGGAGCTGCGATGTGAGTTTGGTGGTGATAGATGGGAATTGTGAAGAACTTTACATTGATGATGATGGGTTGGGCTAAGGTTATGCCCACAACCAAATAATAGGATCTTACCCTTGCATTCCACTTAACCAATCATAGCGTGGGTATGGAAAACCCCATGATTTAAGTCTTGTTTCCATCTTGCACTCGTCACATGCTACACGATTGTGACAGGCAACAACATCATGATAGTGTGCGTATCATGAGTTGGACACTAGTTGTGGCCACCATGCACACTAAACCTTTGTTGGTCGCGGCCCATAACCATGGTGAAGACAATCCGCGAGCCTCCACCGTGTCTACCCCTACATGAAGCCAGACTACTACCCCTAAGACAAGCCATAGAAACCACCAGATGTCTGATCCTTTTCTTCTTATCCCTTGTGTGATCGGATGGATGCCTGTGTCAAGCCCTCGTCTCGAATTTGTAATGGGATATGGCTTGATTTGATTTTTGTTGCACGATTTTGCGCAGAGCTATTGAGTCAACTCGTGTGCCTTTGTGCCTCGTCGTGAAAACCCCGTCATGGTCGTGGCATGCTATTGCATTGTACTGCAAATCCGTCATCTTTCTTTGTGTGTAAGGGTATGCCAGTCACGGAGCGCCATCATGGTCTAGATGTACCACTATTGTTGCACTACGCATCGTGCCTTTGTGTTGGCCTATCTATTTGTCCCTCTATTAGTTTTCGAGCAAGACGCCATGTTTTTGAGCCGATTGTCCAATTTGAAACATCACCACCAACGTCTTATGTTTTGGTGATGTGTTACTATTTTTTTATTCTTAAGCCTATGTAGACTTGTGATGTTATAGTCACCAATAATCGTTGTCTCTTGTTCGAGCAACAGTGGCTTGAGTACCCTAGCACCGCTAGGGATGGCTGTGGGGCCCTGATACCTGATGGTATTTGACCCATTAGGGTACAGGCATGTGATCATTTCTCTCACCACGAGGATCTAAATGGCAAAAATCTATCTCCTACGCGTATAGCGGGTATGGTAACATTCACTATGTACCTATCCCCGTTACCCGTTGGGGACGGCTAATCATATGCATAGGACAAAATAAGCCCAATTAACATATTGGGCCCAGCCCACTTGTTCCATATAAAAGAAGTCCTAATCCTAACCGATACAAAACTTCCATCTCACACTTCACATCTTGTTGCTCGGTTGCCTCCCACTTGCAAGTTTGCGAGTCGTGACTTACCACTCATTTCCCCTCGCTCGATCACTGGTAGCCCTTGCCCTTATTCCCCTAGCGGCTAGTCGGTCCAGCCCTCCATAGCTCCACTCCAGTACTCCGTCCATGGCTCAGAAATGCACACCAGCACACATAGCCTTTGTTGCTGCCAGTGCCAATGAAGTCGTGAAGCCTGCTTGTGTCGTCCTGCACTGGATCTTCCATGGACATCGGTTAGTGAAGACCTTCGTCCTACACCTGCAACCTAGAAGAAGAAAGCCCCACGTCTCCAGCTACACCTGTTGTCGAGAACAAGAGAGTTCTCATACATGTTCATGTTGTCGGGTATGCAGTACCCATCGGGTACTGGTTACTCGGTCCTGGACGAGATGGGGGGAATCCTGTACCTAAGGATGGGGACATGGACGGGGATGGGACAATTTTTGTGTGGCGAGGATGAGAACGTTCCAACGATGCCCGGTGGATACATCCCTAGGCACTGCCACGATTGGCAATCTTGTTTGCGGGAGGCCCTTCCATGTGGCAACCATCTCGAACCTAGCTTTGTAGTTGCTTATAATGCATGCAAGGCCATAGGTTCACCTTGTTACATTATTGTTTCAATTAGCAATGACGTATGATGCTACTTGCGTGCGAATGGAAAACCCCACAATTTCAGTATTGTTTTCCTTATTATGCTCGTCACATGCTACATGCTTGCGACAGGCAACACCATCGCGATAGCATGTGCATGATGAGTTGGACACTAGATACAATGCACACTAAACCTCCCTTGGTCATTGCCCATAACCATGGCGAAGATGATTTGCGAGCCTCCACTGTGTCTACCCCTACACCAAGCTAGACTACCGCCCCTAAGACAAGCCAAAGTGACTGCTAGATATCCGATCCTTTTCTTCTTACCCCTTGTATGATCGGATGGATGCCTATGCCGATTCGATTTTTGTTCATGATTATACTCTAAGCCATTGAGCTGGTTCATGCCTACGCTCCCAGTCGCTGAAACCTGCCATGGTCTTGTTGTGTTGCTTTACTATACTGCAGATCTGTTATCTTTTCTTTGTCTGTATAGGATTGCTGTTCGCAAAGCCCTGCCATGGCCGAGATGTTTCGCTGTTGTTGAGCTGAGCATCATGCCTTTGAGCCGGCCTGTGTGTTTGCCCCTCTATTAGTTTTCCAGCAAGACGCCGTGCTTTTGGGATGGTTGTCTAATTGGAAACACAACGACCACCAGCGTCTTATGTTTGGTGACATGTTCTGTACTGTTTTTCGGTTCTCAAGCCTATGCAAACTTGCATTGTTACAATCACCAAGAGCCGATGTCTCTGGTTCGTGCAACAGTGGCATGAGTACCCAGGCACCACTAGGGATTGCAATCGGGCCCCGATACCCGACGGGTATTTGATCCATTTGGGGACCAGGATGGGATCATTTCTCTCTGGCATCTAAACGGCTAGAATCTATCTTCGACGGGTATAGCAGGTATGGGAATGTTACCTATGTACACATCCCCATTACTCGTTGGGGACCTAGTATTCATGTGTACATGCCAAAATAAGCCCAATTAAAATATTGACCCAAGCCCACTCGTTCCATATTAAAGTGGTCCTAACCCTAATTGAAAAACCTTCCATCTCGCACTCTTGGATCCTGTCATTCGGTCGTGGCCCACTTGCGCGAGTTCGTATGTCGCAACTCACTAGTCTGCAGTGCCGACGCTCTGACTGCAGGGGTAGGGATGTTAGACAAATACCCAATTAAGCATTATTGGCCGGGTCTATTAGCTTCACCTAGGCCTTGAGCATGTATGGTTTTTTGTAGATTGGTTTCTAATCTTCATAGGCAAGGATATCCAGCAGTGGTAATACTTCTATAAACCGACTCTAGATAATCCTTGCCTATATATGTTTACATGCACTCCATGGTTCAATAATCAATCTATTGTTTACTGTGCAATTGCATTGCTTTCATTCCTCATTTTGAAACTTTTACATGCAACTAATTTCTCTTTCAGAGACAAAAAAATACTAACAACTATACAATTCATATGTGCAGGAAAATGTCATTCACAGCTAACTTGCATAGCGTTTGCCAAACAACTTCGAATGGCAACATTGAGTTTTCCTGGATCGAGACGGAGTACAATGGAATGAACATCCTGCCAAAGGTACGTCACCAGGAGGATGATTCGTGCGTCTTCCAAGCCATCTGTGCTGGAACAGAGATGGCAATTAAGAGAGACGCGGCCTTGAAAAATCCTCCACGCACCTCCGATATTGAGTTCAATACAAATTCTTTTGTTGAGGACTATGAAAACCATACCAATCGCAGAATTGGTGATGAGCCTTTGCTGAATCTTCCTTTGGATACGCGTGAAGAAACTGGTATCAATCTTTTCCATAGTAGTGGCGTTTTGGCAACATCTACTAATTGGGAAGGTGAACAGAGAGTTAAGTTATCACGCCATATCAAAGTAAGGCAACCGCAGTTTGACAGGGTAGCTGATTTCATAAGGCTAGGTAAACCTGTGGTGGGATCTTTTCCAGCTAATCGGGATTTCCTCACATTAGGACCTGATGAGATTTATGAGTATGTCAATCGAGAAAAGAAGACCATAGAAAGCTCCCACATGGTTCTGTTTGTGGGATTTGGTTATAAGGGTAGCCTAAATGGGAGGAAATATCTGGTCTTTATGAACAGTCATGGTGAGGAGTTTGGTGATAGAGGGTTCGGTCGTGTCTATTTCAATGATATATTTAAAGATCGTTTATATGTGCTGTTTGCCGGTGCTCCAAAGATAGCAATTCAAAACCCCAATGTTTCCACATCTGCTCCCAAAAGAGAACCAACTCAAGACCCTGATGATCGTCCAGCGCAACGTGCACGACTCGGTGATGATGGTTCTAGCTCTTCGGCAGGTGGAAAACACCCTTCGACCTTAGGTAACCTTCCGACGTGAGCCTGCAGTCGATAACTGTAGGAATATTCACTTTCAGTTTTTTTATGGAACAATATTCACTTTCAGTTGGTTTACCAATTACCTTTTACATGTAGATTGATACAGACTGCTTCTGAAATTATCCACAAAGTTTGGATGCAAGAGTAAGATGGTTTGATCTTCTAGTTAGTACTTCACTGAGTTAAGAGCTACCATAGGGGCATCTGCATTTTCCAGAGGCAAAGGTACGAATCAAAGATTTGCTAATCCCCTAAGTTCTAGGTGTTTTAATCTTGAGCTAGGCGCAATTAGCATGAGTAAATTCTAACATGTTGATGTTTCATGTATGGGGAAAACGCTATTTTCAATATATATAGCTTAAAAAGGGATACAAGGTAGCTAATATCCCCAATGTGGCCAATCATTGATAAGTCTAGTTAGGTGTCTTCATGGATACCTTTTGTTTGTTGTTTCTTTGTCTAAAAGCATTCTTTCGTACCTCTTTCAGGCAGAGGTAATTGGTAAAGCCATAGAGGAAATAGCTGCTATCGTGGTAAGGATTCACCATGACAGGAAACAAAAGTCCTCCATGCCACGCATATCAAAACGGTACTAGCATATGTTCTATCCCTTCTACTACATCTTGTAATGTGTGCTGTTTTGATAAGCTGTGTCAAGCACTATAGCCAGTATGCTTTTTTGTTTGACCACCTTCTGGGTGTTTGTATCTTAATTTCTTAAAGATAAGTTTACGGTCCATTGCAGTGAAATAAATGTATATTGCATCTGTGACCTTCCATTCCCCTCACTTTATTTGGTCACTAGATATATGTTAGGTAAAATAGTAGTGTGAATTGCCTTTATGAAACGTAGCAGAAAACCAGGGTAATATATTTCCTGCAGGAAACAAAAATCCCCATCATCACAAAACTTCCTAGTTATCTGGCAGGTACAAATCATTGAACGTGATGCCGAATATCGTTCCTTTCCTCCTAAACAAAATTTTGTTTAAGACAGTATACTTGAGTACTCCCCCCAGTGAATATTTGTTTTTATTAAAAATTTAACCATTTAGGGAAACCATTTCAAAAGGAGTTAAAAGTGTGTCCAGGGAACCTTTTTTTTGTTGATTTTACTAAGTCCTGTTTCAGATTCCTTGTTATTGTTCATTTAGCTTGATGGATGCTATTTAGCCCCTTCACCTTTACAACGATTGCATATTTTGGTATGATGTTTCCTACTATTTTTATTTTTTTTCTGGTCACTGTTTGAACTAAGCATCTTGTGGAAGTCGTTGAAAGTACCAGGATGAACTTCTGGTTGAAAGTAACAGGATGAACGCCTGGATTGAGATCTAGACATCCAGTCACTGAAAGTCTGGTTAATTGGAAATTGCAGCAGACTTGAGAGCTGGCTCAAGGATTGTCAAAATGATCTTAAGATAATGCTTACTTGTTATCTGTTTTGATTTGGCCCTACAAAGAAAGAAAGAAAAAGATTTATATGCTATTGTGTGAAAACAGAGTTTTAGTCTGACCTGAAACTTGAAAGATATGGTCTGTTGTGTTTTGTGTGTATCTTAAGAAAAAGGAACTGCTTTGGTGGCAACTGCTGCTGTCGATGAACCACACAGCCTCTGAGGAAAATGCTGGACATGATCTCTGTTGTTTTAGTTGAACTGCATATATCGTTTTTGGGGCCTTTTGAAACAGTGTTCATTTTAGAAAGCTATACAAGATAGGTGTCCATCCTGACATATTCAGCATTAAACCCAGTAACTAAAGAAATCCATTTGTGTTGTTGCAGGGTGGCTCCAGTTCTAGTCTATGATTACCTGTCAGAGATGGTTAACACTAATGTCGAGTGTCACAAGGTCTTTGCTACAGAGTTTTAAGTTTGTTTCTGCTGCGGTGAAGCGATTTCAAAAGCCAAAAACTAATATAATACATCATATTTTTTTCTACATCTAGCTTTGTAGATTAGTGGCACCGTGCATAGAGGGTTCCAAATTCTCTTGGATCACCACCTCGTGATCCATGTCATCTTTTGTTCGTTGATTGAGCCTAGTTTCATCGAAGAATATGTACCTGGTATCATTCGAGGAAAGACAACTGCCTATCGCTGTAAAGAAATATGCACCACAGTTTGTTTGATTCTGTTTGCATTGATCATCAGGAAGAAATAAAATGTAGTATTATCTATGTTTCAGCACATTGAAAGAACTTTATGTTTTTTTTGGAACATAATAGCAGGAGCTCTGCCCTTCAATTAAGATAGGCAAAAGAGGTTTATGTACAGAGAAAAAGGGTCACGACCCCCCAAAAAGATTACAAAATTTGTGTCGTGATATTGCCCCTGTTGGAATTTATATGGGTTTGGCCCAATAACAAAATTCAGAAATTCCTAATAAATCTCAAATGCCCATTCATGTGTGCAAGAGGAGATGTGGGAACTCTTTAGTACCACCTTGGTTGTGGAAGTGGAGGTAGCCATACTTAAATATGGGAGTCCTCTCCACTTCCTCAACTCTAGTGTGAGGAGGAGAAAGAGAAGCCCAAATGCGCGTGCTCGCCTCGTCGTGCCATGCCGGACTGCGTGTGTGCGCGGCACCTGCGTGAATGGTCCATCGAAATCCGGCTCCTCATCTTGCGGGAGCGCAGTTTCCTTTTGGTTTTTGGTTTCTTGGCCTTCAAGTTTGATCGCGACACGAGGTCTGTTGGACAGGACTATATATGCAGCCTACCGGCCACGCCAAAACGCATCTAATTGAGCTAGGGTTTTTGCCTCTTCTCGTTGCTGTGCTGCCGCCGACCGGACGAGCAGGTCTCCGGAACCCTCGTCTCTGCACCGGGAGAAGGCGAATAAGGTTTTTGGGAAGCGCTCTTCGCGCGACTGCTCCCAATCTTCACGACGGGTCATCTTCCATCCAAGTCAGGCGGCGCTACGTCCTGACATATCCGTCGTCAGCTGCTCCGAGCTCTTCCTCCACCTCTCATCGACGACTTCGACCTCGTGCCATCGTCACCAGCTTCGTCTCCTTCTACATCTCCACCGCCAGCGATTACATCTCCAATCGGAAGGTATATTCCTCGTGTTCTAATGTCTTGGTTCATACTGTCCAATCTGTTTGGTGTACGAGCTATGCTTACACCAGTAATCATGTTTATACTTCAATATGTTGTTTGATCATGCTAGTATTCAGTACATGCTTAATCTAGTATTTCAGATTATCATGATTTATATTCTGGTTTTAATCTGGAAATTGCCTAATTATTTAATAGCCCCTTCCCCGATCTGAAACCCTCTTTTTTTGCTCGATATCGTCTTTTACCCTTGAAGTCACATGCATAGCCGACTCATGGGTGTTGTTAAAAATTCTCCTATTTCTTTCCTTCCATATGTTCCACAAAGTGTAGATCACCATTCCGTTGAAGCGCCTTTTTTCTTCTTTCGCTATCTTGGCTGCTGCCCCTTCCCACCATGACTTCAGGTGATGTGGGTCTTGAGTTGGGTGGATCAATTGTACATCAAAGTGCTCCGATCCCATGAAAGAATCTGACTCCATACCGCCTTGGTGAAAGGGCAAAGGAGTGATAGATGAAGGCATGTTTCCAAAGGTCTGTTACATAGGGCGCATTGATCATGATGAGGCCAGCCCCTCTTTTGTAGATTATCTGCCGTTAGGATTTTTTCTTGCACCAGGACCCAAGCAAACACTTTACCTTTGCTCTTCGCATGCGCTTTCCATATGAGGTCATTGAGGAATTCGCTATAGGAACCCTTGAACTGGATCCTATACGCTGAACGGGTGGAGTAAGCAGCATCAGCAGTCCATCTCCAAACTATGGAGTCGCGAACTCCCGGCGTCTGCAGGATGTTTTGGAGCCTTATCTAAAGGGAGACAAACTCTTCAACTTGGACGGTGGTGGTGATTTTGCCTCTTAGCGATCGGATCCAACTGTTGTTTCGAAGTTCCTATTGGACATATTTGTTTTTCCTTCTAATCAGCTCAAACAAATGTGGTGCTAAATATTTAGGGTCCTCGCCCTCCAGCCAGCTGTTGTGCCAGAAGCGTGCCTTTGCGCCATCACCGACCGTGATCTTGGTTGATAGGTTGAAGAGCAGCCGGTCGGTCTCATTGCAAGGTAGGTCCGCGCCCGCCCAAGGTTTAGATTCCTCCCCCAATCTTGCCAGAGCCATCGTAAGTGAAGAGCTCTCCCAAAATTTTCTAAATCCGGTATCCCCAAACCGCCAAGGTCTTTAGGTCTTGTCACTGTTGGCCAGTTCACGAGACAGTGGCCGCCATGTGCAATTTCTTCACCTTTCCATAAGAATGGTCTCCTAATTTTGTCAATTTTCTTCTTAGCCCAAGCTGCAATGGGAACACTGTCAAGTGGTAGGTCGGCATGGATGAGAGGACCGAGGAGATTAGAGTGAGGCGACTTGCTCTATTCAGCCATCTCCCTTTCCACCCAGGAAGTCTCTGGCCAATGCGCTCAATATGCGGTTGCACATGAATTTTTTGAAGTTTTCGAAAGTGCAGCTGCAACCCCAAATACCGGCAAGGGAAGTCACCTCTGATTCCCGCAAAAGAAGACAGGATGTGTTCCAAATCCAGTTCATCACACCTGATGTCGGGCCCCTAGTTTAGGGTCCACTGTGCATCATGTATCAGTCCCTGGATCAGTAGCTGGTACGCACAATTCGAACAAGATTGATATCAAAAAATAAACTTTTATTGCTAAAGGAGAAATATATATTACATGGTTCGGGTTACATATGGCCTCTGGCCTTACATCATATATAAGAGTTCTAAGACAACGGTCCTATGACAACGTGGCTCCATTCCTACAGGCAACTAGGAGCGCGGACATAACCCTAGACTTATTCCTGTAGCGTATTCCTATATTGCAGCATCGTAGTCCTAGCGTAGCTCCTTCATGTAGTCGTACAATTCCATCTTTGAATCTCCTCCTGATGTTCGATCCTTGCGTAGTCCTTGGTAGCTTCATCCTCGGATA